CGTCAAAATAATTTATATATCATAAATTATGTCTTTAATTCCATTTCAATTCTATGCTCGACACTTGTTTTGACGACTATAATCACGCTTCAAGTTAAAAAAATAAGTTTTTCAAATAGAATTTCGCTTCGTTTAATTATGTATGTTTCTATGGCGAAGATTTTATATTCAATATCTCATGTAAGTTTTTTTTTTTTTTTTTTTTAAAAAAAAAAAAATTGAAATTATTAATGGTTGATTGAAAATTTTCTTTTCTTTTTTTTTCATCACCATCATACGTACGTTATCGTTATAGATTTTAAGAATAAATTCATATCAATTTCCAAAATGGATTTCTTATATAGCATCATTGGGATATATTATCAGTTCGCTATTAATCTGTTTTTTAATAATGACGATACTATTTAATGTAAAACTCATATACATATATAATTACAAAAACACCACACATTTCGAAAGATATTATTTAATAATCCCATTATCACTTGCGATGCTGTTAAGTTTCATGCCTTTCTCGTTCTACGAGCTGAAATTTGATCAAGTACAAAATCGTGTTTGGTACAGTTCAAGTAGGTATCATAAAAAATTTTATTTACGGGTGCGATCAATAATAAATCTCAAATCTTTAACCAAAAATTGTCCTATCCTTCCTTTCTAGTTACCTGGGAATGGGCAACGTACCTTGCATGGATCATCTGGTCTATTATGTATTGCACTTTCTCAATTTCCCTGATACTTTACAGCATAAACAAGCGGAGTAAAGGTGCAGATTCAACGTCCATCGACAACTCCGAATCCTCCTCCTCCGCCACCCATTTTTCCAAGAACACTTCTCGACACGTTACTCGCATAACTTTTTATTCATTAATACCGATTTTAACATATTTACCAACCATAATATTAGACATTTATTACATATATATAGGCAACAATAATTCACTTATTAATATAATTTCCTTACTATTTTCATCATCACAAGGAATTTTTACTTTGATAATCTTTTTATTTGATCCAGTTATCAGTCAATTAAGATCATGTCATGAAAAAGATAAACAACATAAACAAGACGTTTTAGATACGGTTAGAATGGGGGTTTACGTTGAAAACATCTATAAGCTTGATTTACCCAGGAAACGAGACCAACGAGAACAGCAGATTAATGATGCTAACGATATTCATGCAAAGAATGCTAAAAAAAGTAGCATTTATAATCTAGTCTTTGCTCTTTATGATAATAGAAGGAGCTTAATTGTTAGAAATGACCATTTTAACCTAGATAATGATAATGATATGATCGCCCTTCTTTAAAATTAAAGAAGGTCCCATTTATCCAATGTGACACAAATTCTTTGTCTTTGAAAATCATCTTTATATATAGATAATTATTTTCATCTTTTTTGAAAAAAAAAAAAAAAAAAAAGGGAAACCATATCCTACATTTTATATCTTTTACAGTAAAACGATAAAAATAAAACTTCACAATGCATATCATCTTTATTATTATATTATCAGCCATACAAAATATTTCCGATTAAAATTTACCTGAAGTTTGAACCTTTCGTCACACCGCGGCAATAAATTCTTAATTTAGTTTAGTTGATGAAAAAGAATTTCTTGGCAACAAAATTTGCGAAAAATAAATAAATAAATAAAAATAGGAAAATCGTACACAATGAACTTTCCGGAAACAAGAATTACTTTTTTTATTGCGCCCCTTTAACTTGTTTGAGACGAAACAAACTGTTTCAAATTTTGAATTACTAATGTGGGATAATAATATATAATAAATAGTATATAAAACAAAATAAAAGTACAAAATGTAAATTTTTGCCAAAAAAAAAATCATTAAAAAGTAGTTGTTTTTGCTTATAACCTTTTTCTTTCTACTTTCTTTTTTTATTCCTTTGTAGAAAAATAAATTAAATTAAAAATTATATATATATCTCACATTTTTTCATTTTTATTTTTATTTTTTTTTTAAAAAAAAAATTTTCTAAATTAAATACTTCTAGAACCATAAAAACATGTTTAAAAGTTTTCTTTGGATAATAACGACGATCTTCGTGTCACTGTTCTTCGATAACGCAATCGCGTACAATTTAATCGAAACTACTCAAAATTTTAATAACATCAAACAATATATAAATGATGATACATTAATGTTGATATCACCTCCAACGAATGATTCCGCGAATCAGTTCGTTACGCTCCTATTTCAAAATGGAACGAGTTCGGTGATAAATATTGACGTCAAAAGTCAAAATGAAGGAAACGCTTTGATTGACATTTATCCTTTAGCCAAAAACTACATTTGGATAATATACGCGAGAAATGTGAACGAAAGTAGTAGCGTTCAAAACATGTTTGGTATGCTAATGAATTGGAATCAAGAAATTCTTGCATTGTAAGGTTTATCTTATTATTATTATTATTATTACAGAATAGAACAGGCAATTTTAAATGACTAAAAAAAAATTTTGAACTTTTTACAGTGACGTCGACTTAAATTGTCCGTATGATGTTAATGATCGACCGACAGTTGCACCCAATATCAATCCCGAAGATGGCTTTATCATTATAACGAAAAACACTAATCATCATTTAACATGGAATGAATTCTCTTATTCGTTCAAAGAACACGAGCACAAAGCTGAACAAGGACACGAACCTGATGAACAAGAACATGAACCTGATGAACAAGAGCATGAACCTGATGAAAAAGAGCATGAACCTGATGAAAAAGAACATGAGCCTGATGAAAAAGAACACGAAAAAAAGCTTCCCGATGTCAATCTCATCAAATTTATTTCTCATGGCACAATCAAATATACAGAACAAACCGAGTTAATAGATTATTTAGCGTTTGGTACGATAGAAGGAACATACGGAGCTCTAATATTACTTAAGAATTTAAAGATTAAAAATGTAGATTTAATCAATAGTTATCAAGCGCAACCGATTTATATGGTATATTTAGCTTTAATAGGCACCCCACAACATTCACAAGTGCCTGCATTGGTTTACGAAACTTCAGAAGAAAAAATTACTTCAATTAATATTCAATCATGTAAAGTTGCATTTGTCGATCATGCAAACGTTTGCTTTCTTAAATCTATTGTTAATAGTAGTTTAGGTGTATCTCTCTCTGCTACCGTAGAAATTGTTTTTTTGTCTACGGGTTCAGTGATTGATATTAGTCAGCTTGGTTTGGATAATGATACGATAAATCTGCCAGCACTACCAACACCAAACGCTAATAATATTACGGATTCCGTTATACCTTTGGAAAATGATGGTTTACTTGTAATTAGACATACCGATAATTCCATCACCGGTCACATCTATGATCAATATGGAAATAATATCGGAAAAGAATGGGACATACCAAAGAATTTAACGGAGAATAGTAATTTACTTGGATTTGGCATGTTTAAAAATAATACTGCGTGGATCGCTTTAGATGGTTTAACAGATAGTATTGTATCAAGTGATATGCCAAAATTTATCGAAGACAGTAAGTTACAAACAAATTGTAATACCCTTTTTTTTTTTTTTTAACCAGCCGCTAATTTTTTCCTCTCTTTGTTGTTAATCATAGGTGGATATAATAATTTACTTGTAGTGTCAACCGAACCAAAGATAAATAGCCTCTTATTCACACCTTATCCGGAAACAATAAATATAACCTATTCGATTCCAATCACGCAAGGTTCTGGAAATATTACAATTTACCAGGTTAACGATAATGGATCAAAACTTTTAAGACAAACATTTCCCGGAGCTTCAGAACATTGTAGGATTGATGAAATAGAAAGGAAGACAATCTCTTGTAAAGTACTAAATAGTACCTTTAATCATATGGGTACAAATTATACGGTGGTCGTTGATAATAACTTTGTTAAGAATTCTTTCTTGGATGAACCTTTAAGCGGAATACAAAGTGGTTTCTGGAATTTTAAAACTAATGCATGTAAGTTATTTTATATTTCGCATCCCGATTTTCCGTGGTCGTGTTTATTTTATCAATATCTTAACTAAAATGTACAACGTGATTAGCGTCAGCTGAAATTCCGTTCACAGTTGGATTCAATGTCTTGTTGAGGCTTGATGATGAAGGAACACGAAATTTTTTTGCGGATAAAAAATTTTTAGATCATTTACATACAGAATTATCTCAAAGTATACCGGTTAAACATCATAGACTGGTATTCACTCGGCGAGTACAGAAAGACTACTCAACGGAAAATAAAAGATTATTATTTGAATTTAAAATATTAGAAGATGGAAATGCTACTGAGCCAAGGCCTCAAGAAGTTTTCAATAGTTTGAAAACTTTAATCAAACATAAAAAGATTACTATTCTCTCAACTTTAAGTCATGCTAGCGACTTAGATGAAACGTATGAAATTCATATTGTTCGTGAGTATTTTGAGGGAAAGAAGGTGAACTTACCAAATATGATTTAATATTGATTTTCTTTTTTTCGTTTTGTAGCGAATTTATGGGAAGTTGTGAGGTATCTATTCCTTGGATTTGTGTTTATCTGTTTAACACTTGGAAGTTTTTATTTGTGGGCTCGTTATAGACATCCAAAGGTAACGTTTAATTTTTAGTTTTGACTGTAAAATATATAAATAAATATAAACATAAATAATTTTGTTTTATTGTTTTACAGGGACACAATTCGGCGATATTTAAAATTCCATTGCTCTTATTTGATTTATTAATGGACATATTATTTGTTATATACCATGGAAGGACAATTCCTTACATATTCATTCCAAGGTACAATTCCAAGTTTTACTTTTTTTTCCCCCTTTCCGTTAACCAAACTTTATTTACTAACGGATCCTTTATTTAAAATTTTCTAAATAGCATTATCATATTAACAGTATCGTTTGCATTTAATTCATTCATGAGCGTAATAATTATAACGCGTGAAATATCACACAATCCTAACTTTCAAAAATGGTTCGATAATCATATAAAATTAGCAGCATTATTCACTGTACTTGGGTTCGCCGACGTAGAAACGTTATATACATTAAAAAGCAGAATCGCCGGTTTAGAATCGTTTTCTGCTCCTTATTCTAAAGTTGGATTATCCTGGATATTAAACGGTAGTGCGTTGAATGTATTGATAGTTGATTTACCTCAAGTAATATTTCAGGTATTTGCTAGAATATTATAATTATAATTATTAAATTTTAAGCGTGTATATATATATTTTTTTTGCTGAAGATATTAACAAAAAATAATACTTATTTCAGATTATCTATCTACAAACTGTGTTAAATTATACTTTGATACCTTTCTTCACTTTAATTACAAGTAGTTTGATTTTTGTTATCGATTTGGTTTCTCATGTTCACGATGCTATGTCGAACCAATGTTGCAAGAATTCTAAGGTTGGTTATATGTTTAATGATCAAGTATTGCCCCAATCTAGTCGTGAATCTAGTCGTGAACCTAGTCGTGAACCTAGTCGTGAACCTAGTCGTGAACCTAGTCGTGAACTTAGTCGTGAATCTAATCGTAACCACGAAAATAACCACGAATCTGACCACGAATCTGATCATGAAACTAATTACGAGAATCATGGTAATAATAATGGTCGCGAGGAAGCTTAATTTTTATAAAGAAGAAAAAACATTTTATTTAAATGTAACTAACTAGTATACATGTAAATATATATAATAGTCTGTAAAAATTAAAAATAAAATTTATGTAATTCTCTTGCTTTTAGCCAATCAAGTAGAATAAGTTTCTGATCGACGACTAAAATCAACCAAGTAAAACTTGAATAAATAAATAAATAAATAAAAAGGGGTAGTAACCAATCTATGTACAGTATGGGGTTTTTTTTTCATGTGTATAGCCATACATTTATTTAGCATTTTAGTGTCGATTAAATTAATTGTAAACAAATAATTTGTCGAATCTTAGATCGAAACTACCACTAGTTATTTTAAGGAAACCATCGATCGTTTTTTCATTGAACAAATGACATTGTATTCCAACATTGTTCTTGCTTTATACTGTAAATGAAGAAATGGCGTCTTTACTTTTTAGGCACTTCATTATAAATTTTTCTTTCATATACAAAGAAATATACTATATGATCGATCAACGTATAAAAATCATATGATTTCATTTTTTAAAATTAGTAATCTACAAGAAAAATGATTAATTTCAACGACGAATAACGACGAATCTAACGAAAAAAACTATATTTGGTATCAAGTCACAGATCGAAACGAAAATTACGCCAACCTGCCGATTCCGAGTAAAGAAAGAGGTTGACATTGAATATACTATTTGAATGCTGCATATTTTCGAAATAGTTGTCTTAAACAATCCAATCAATCCCTGTCTTTCTATTTTATTATTATTTTTTTTTTTTTTCCTGTGCATGACAAAATAAAATAAGGTTAGATAAAATAAAAAAAAAAATGATTTAACTTAAATATTCACAATTAGAAATATCGGATTACAAATTCCTATTACGAAATCATTAATAATTACAAAAGCATTATCGCTTACACAAAATACAAATCTTCAAAACTTACCAGATATACAAACATTTAAATTTTCAAATAAATGGCTCAATGGTTTTTTAAATCAATATAATTTATCAATATCACTATTGCATAATATTTACCTAAAAATCTAGGAGAAAAGAACGCAGCTTTTAAATTATATATAATTAATATGGAAATATAAATGAAAATCCACTTACTTTAATATATTCAATCCAATAACAATTGAAAAAAATATGATGCTTATACAGTTAACATTAGAACTATATGTGATAAAAGAAAATTTTTAATGTAATTTTTGGATACATAACTAATAAAACAAAATTATCTTCAGTTTATAGTTTAAATTTAAAAAAAAAAAAAAAAAACCTTTTTTGAAGGTATATTTATTTATCTTATTCATTTTATATATAAATAATTAAAAATCAACTTTCTGTAAAAAATACAAATATAACAATTATTCCTAATGACTTAATATTAGATATTGCAATCAATAAAAGTTTTAAACTAAAGATATAAACAATTTTCTTTTATATTTAAATTAAAAAGCATTATATAATCAATAGATAATAAAAAAATTCATGATATTATATTCTTAAAATCATATTAAAAATTTATTATATTAAACTTGCTAAATGAATAAATTAACCTAAATTTAATTAAAATTTATTTTTAATTATTATAAAATATCTGGTGTAAAGCATTTATAATTTAATATTATAGTTTTAATTTTCATTATATCTATATCTTTGATTACAATAATTTAATTAAATAAAAATTTTAAAAAATACTAATAAAATAAAAATTATATTAACAGCAAAAATAATTAGCAAAATTATTAGCAAAATATAAAAGATACTATGATATATTAAATAGAAGAAATTATTATAAAAAAATATCTTATACTACCTTGTTTTAATTCATAAAATTTAGCATTTAATACAATAATAAATATTTATTTTATTACTTTTTATTAATAAATCTTTTCTTATTTTTAAAAATATGCAAAAGAATACATCAATTATAAACTTAATATTAGAAGCTTTTAAAAATAAATAATTTTTATTTTGTAAGATTAATTGATAAAATTTTTAATTTATTAAAGAGATAAAATATTTATTAATAAAAAATTACTTTTTAGAATACATAGTGAAATTCAATAAATTGGATCTTCGATAAATTAGATTTGGGCTTAAACTGAACTTTTTTGCTAGAACTAAATCACATATATTAAAATAGTTTTGATATATCAGAACTTACTAGTAAAAGCTTGATATTTGCTATAACAGATCAATTTTTCAACCAGCTATAGTAAAAATGATTTGATAAACTGGAACACATGATCAAGAACTAATAAAATTCAAGTAATATGATTCAGTAAATCTTAACTTTTTCCAGAACTATAAAAATCTTAATTCTGGCTGAAGTTATTAATATAATTATATTCAATTAAAAATATTTTATATTCATTATCATAATCTTTATTACATAATAATTAAGATGAAAAGTTAAAATATAATGTAGTTTGTCATCTTTAATGTGAAATATTTTTAAAAATCCAGTATAATAGATTTTTTAGTATATCAAAAAAAATTTTTCGCTATACCAGATATCCTAATAAACTGAATATTTTTAGTAAAACTGATAAATCTGATTTATCAAATTTCACTGTATATAATTAATAAGTTTTAAATTTATAACAATTGATTTTCTCAATATTTGCTTATTTATATTAGGTATCATAAATACTAAATCTGAAATATATAAAAAAATATTTAAAAAAAATATTTAATATAAATTATTATGTAAAAATAGAATAATAAATAGATTTTTAATTTATTTAAACTATAAATACAAAATATAAAAGAATAATAATAATTAATATATTTTATATTTTAAAATTTTTAATTATAAAAAATTATATTTGATTAAAGAAGTAGTTAAATAAATTCTTATAATTTATCTTTATTTTCCTTAAATTATAAAGTTTTGCAAGCAAATTTACCTGCTTATTTATTATAAATTTACTTTTAATTTACTTTTATGAAAAATTAAAATTTTTAAAATTTTTTTTTAAATTAATTTTATAAATATATATATTATAATAACTTTTATTTTTTAATTATATAATAAATAATTTAAGATTATTTATAAGCTAAATATTTGTAATTTTTAAAAAATTTTTAAATTAAAAAATTTTATTTTTGACCTTTGATAATCTTATTAATATTATTTTTAGTAATATTAATCATAATAGAATATTATAAAATTTATCATGAAAATAACTTTAATTATTAAGAAATTTTATGACTTTTATTAATAATAAAGTGATTCAATTAGTTTGCAAACATATAAATTTTAAAAAATTTTAAAAATTAGTATAATAAAAATTTTAAAACTTAATTTTAAAAATTGAATTATTTAAAAAACTTTTTAATAAACTTAAAAGTTCTTCTAATAAAATTAATAAAATATACTAAATTATATTTTTATATAATAATTATATTTTTAATATTAATATTTTATATTTTATTAAAAAATTAATAATTTTTTTTATGTTTATAGACAAATCTTTAAAATTAATAATTTTCTTAAAATTATTCAAAATCAATTAGGACCAATTAGCATTTTTTCAATTTAATTATTATTAATAATCTTATTTTAAATTAATTTAATTTAATAATTAATAGTTAATTACTTTTTATAAAATAAGATTTCTTATTATTTAATAATATATGATAATATCTATTATAGACTTATAAGTAAAAATTAAATTTTATTGATTTCTTTCTAGCTTTATTTGCATTTATTTATTTATTAAATCTAATATTTAATATAATATAATTAATTTTATAAATTTAAATATTAAAATTTATTTTATAAAATTTAATTTATTAATTAAAATTATAATATACTTATATTATAAAGATTTGCTTATTAAAAATTCTTTTTAATTTATATTTAAACTTTATTTATATATAAATTATTAATAATATAATATTATAAAAAATTTTTTATTGATTATTAAAAAAATAATATATAACATAAATAGTATAAAGTTACTACTTTTGATTATATAATATTAAAAGAATAAAAGTAATCAACTAATAGATTATTTAAGTAAATTTTCTATTAAATAATAGGTTAGATTATTATCTTTCACATAATAGAGTTCTTTTTTGCTAAATAAATTATAATATTAATTATATAAAATTAAAGTTAAGATATTTTATTAAATTTAATATGAATTTAGTCATAATAAAGTTTACTAGAATTACAAAATTACCTAAGTTAGATCAAAAAATCTAAATTAAAAGTTTAATTTTTAAAATGAATTTATCTTAAAATCTTAAAATGGAACAATTGTGTTAGATATATGATACCTAAATATCTTCTTTACTTTTTTTTATTTTTTTAAGAACTAATAGCTATAATGAAAAATAAGTATTATATTGACTTAAAAACTTTTAAATTTTTTTTCTTTTAAAAAATAAATCTGAATCTTTTTTTGTAAATCAATTTTTTTTTTAAAAAAATAAAATTTATAAATTTTAAAAAAAAAATAAAACAGATTCAAATTTTTTAGAATAATAAAAATATGAGATTTTTTTTTTTAAAAAAAAAACTTATTTAAATTTTAAAAAAAAATCTAAATTTTTTTTTTTTAAAAAAAAAACTTAAAATTTTCTTTATTTTAAAAAAATAATCTGAATTTTTAAAAAATTTACTTTTTTTAAATTTTTTTAAAAATTTTTTTTTTTAATAGTGTTAATCAGTATATAAAATTTAAACCAAAAGTCATGTACACAAGTTGTAATAAAAATAGAAAATTAATACATGTATTATATAATATTTCCATTTTATAAATAATTTATCCATTTTATATATAATTTATCTATTTTAGTAATTATTTGTACACATTTTATGCTGTATAATATATGTATACAAAAATTTAATATGCATATATGCATATTGTGCATGTGAATTTTATACACTCGTGTTAATTAAAAAATTATGTAATATAATTTTTAAGTTTCATAATATTCAATTAGCAGCTACACAAAAAAGCAAATAGTTAAAATTACAAGTTA